CACACACGCACGCACGCACGCACGCACGCACACACACACACAGATACATAAAAATTAAACCAGAGCAGTTCAAGTGCTTTTAAAAGACTTATTCGACACAGAACCAACATGTTGACTAATTACGAAATCAAACGACTAGTCCAGTTGTCTGTACAACCCCCAGTAAACTACTTTAATTTCATCCCCAATCACAACTACTTTCAGCCGCTCTCTGTTAGAGTCGTTAAGATCAGTGCAAGTTGAGCCTGATGGGACACAAGACAGCACTACGTCTACTGGGGCAGTACTCCTGCAGCCTCAGATTTGAGAAAATCTCAATTTCCTTTTTATACAGATGTCTTTTCAGATGTTGTCAGAGCCCAGGCTTTCATCAAGGCTCTTCTTGGAAAGCTCACACCCAGTAATTGCTTGAACTAAGTTCACAAAAATCATGACTGACTGTTCTATTTATCAGTCAGGCTATCTACTGTAAGGAAAAATTAGCTGTGATAAACCCCTTCATCAGGTATGTGATGTGTCAATCACTCATGTGAACATCTTCGTCATCCCAATTTTGGGCTTTTTGTAAGGCATGCAGCCAAATGTGGCTATATCTGCAGATGGTGAGCATATGCTCATTCAGCCACACTAATTGCGTGATGTTGGATATGAAGAAGAACATTTGTTCCGAGAAAGAGAGAGAGCAGCAGAGAGAGTGAGAGAGAGCCAACCAACCCTGTTATTAGAAAGGTTATTATTGGGCCTTGTGACAGTCTAATGGGAGGGGGCTCTTGCAGCTTGGAGTGCAAAGCCACAGATCTCAAACACCTACATGCCACATACTTCATATCACACACACACACACAAACAGGAAGAGAGGAGCTGATGTACAGCAAATCTTTAGACAGCCAACAGCAAAGCCACTTATTCACACAGCACTGGGGTTCACACTGGCAGTGTGAATGTCCTTCACTGTCGTGTCAGCGTTATCCACCTATTCATAACAACAGGAATCAACCAGATACACATCATCATCCATAGCTCATGGTCTGTACATAACTTTTTCCAGAAACAAAACACAAAACAACAACCTTTATTTGACCAAAAATACAGTTAAAAGTAGTAATATTGTAAAATAGCAATACAATTTAAAATTTAACATTTACATTGTTGTTACATTACAGACATTACTCCAGTCTTCGGTGTCACATGATCCTTCAGAACTCCTTCTAATATGCTGATTTGGTGCTTAAGAGACGCATTATTATCAATGCTTTATGCTTAATATTTTTGTAGAAATTGTGATTAGTTTTTTTGAGTATATTCTGATGAATAAAAAAAAAAAAAAGCATTTATTTGAAATATAAATTATTTGTAGCATTATACATGACTTGACATCACTTTTGATTAACTTAATGCATCATTGATGAATAAAAGTATTAATTTCTATAAAATAAAAAATAAAAAAACAAACTTGTGAACTTGTATACATATATGCATACAATATATTTATTAATAATTTGTTGTGCTTTGTGCTGC